AAAATGACGAGTAATATCATTTTGACTTTTGTCAACATACTTTGTCAACATACTTTACATGTTTATCTCTGAAGGAAAATATATAACTCATGTCATATTGACATTGATTAGCCTGTCTACTTGATTGATTATTATTTCATTATATAATGTTTAATTATATTTTTCAAAATCAAATATTGAATTAATGAACTAAGCACAAAGATTTGTTCTTGACGATGAATGATATTTCTTAAGCCAAATTTAAACAAAAGGTCTGTAAAGAAAGAGTGTCTATGCTCAATCATTTGTTGTGAAAAAACTTGTGTTGTTGTTAAAGTTAAGGATGTAAACGAGCTGACTTGCAAGCCGAAAACTCGTGGCTCGGGTAATAATAAGTATTTAATTCAAAATTTTATAAAAAAATTAAATCATAAATATTTAATTCAAAATTTTATTAAAAAAAATTAAACAGGCGGGGCGGGGTTCTCGTTCTCGCCCTCCAACTCACATACCAATTAAGAATGCCATATATATTTTCTAAAAAAAATGATAATCTTATCGAATGATATTCTTATTAGAAATTTAAATTATTAAACAAGAAAAAAAAAAGGATTCTATATTTAGTTATTCAAATCACTTTCATTAATAAAAAAAAGTGAAAATTGAAAGAAGTCTTGAGATGCAATTTCTTGAAAACTAACAGAAAAGTGTTCGCTATTCAAAGTTTACGCGTATAAGATATCTTCTATACACGGAAATATTAATAATTTTATAATCAATTTATTATTTATCATGAGTCAAGATATTAGTATGTAAATAATATGATATTAATTAAATATCAATGAAAAAAACCAACAACTTTACCGACAACTTTTGTACTTAAATAAACCGACCATTTGACTAATGATGATTTATAGATTACGTCGAAAACACATAATTAATAATTGAGTAACGTTATCTAATGATTTAAAGTCATCAATGAAGTCATTTGTTGGGAGTAGTTAATTAACTAATCAAGTCAAACACGATCTTTAGTAAAATACTTAACTTAAGAGGAAGGTAATTAGGACACGACTAATATCAAACAAACTTGCAAATATACATGCATCCAATAATATTCACATCTTATGCAAACATTTTCACACCTTCAACAAAACCCCCCACCTACCCTATACATACCAACCTGAAAAATGAATGAAAAATTAATCAATCTGCAAATACATCATCTTTTACATCTTTCTTTACATTGTATTACATGGCAAAACACCGGAACAGTTAAAAACAAAAACATTTTTCTTGCCCATATTTTTCAAAAATTAAAGGCAATGTCAAAAAAAAAAAAAAGAAAAAAAAAATGTAAAGGAATGAGTGTACATTTAGCATTTGAAAAATGCTACTTGTACATCAAAAAATGTACATCAAGGTCTACATCCCCTCACATGGAGGAATCCACTTGGATAAAATATTCGAGTGGGCCCCTTACCCATGTGAGGGGGATGTACACCGTGATGTACACCCCGATGTNTGTACACCGTGATGTACACTCCGATGTACTAGAAGCATTGCTCTTAGCATTTTTGATGAAAAATATAAGAAGAAAAAGACACTATTGTTACATGCTACGCGAGATCAACTCCACCATGACATTGGGAATCATCATTGTTGGATCGCCCAAAAGAGCAGACAATAGAAACTTGACAAACAATTTGATTGTCGTAATGAAGGTACTTCCACCGCTTCTGTTTCTATTATTTCTAACTAATTGTTTTAAATCCATATTCTCCAATGCCAAATCCCCATACTTCATGTATGCCTCTTGTACCATTTCAGTTATACAATACACATGAAAATGATACTTTTTGCACGTAGACACATAAGACCATCCCAAAACATTTTTCTCATCTCGAGAAATCTCCCGCTTTCCACACTTACCGCACTTTGATGAAACCTTTGTCTTGAGATCAAATATCGTACCATCAATCTCTAGTTTCTTTTTAAGTTTTAGACAACATGGGTGTAAATCCTTGTTGTCTGCTTTACAGTGGTAGTTAAAACCACATATGTCCTTTCCACATGCATCGCAGCACTTCGAAAACTCTTTGTGATTCTTCTTATTCAGTCTAGTGAATGGTTTATTGTGAAATTTGAAGACGGAGCCAGCAAAATTCTCGTGGGAAACTTCAGATTTGGGGTGCCTACACTCTTTGTGTAGTTCGCGACCACAAGGATTGCATGTGTACCTTTCTCCGAATCCTGTCATCTTGCAGCCATCGCAGTTGAACAACTTTGCATACCTTTTCAACTCATAGTGCTTACGGCAATCATGGTTTTGTGATCTAATCGACGTATTGACTCGTGATCTGATCGACCTATTGTCTCGTGATCTGATCGACGTATTGTCTCGTGATCTAATCGACGTATTGTCTCCTGAAAATGTAAATAGTGAACTAAGCACACGGTTTGTATGATACCAAGGAGTCGACTAGACTGAACAATATAAATAGAAGAGAAGTTTAAATATAGTACCTGATTTGCTCATGACTATGAATGCTATTTCTTCTGCCAAATTCAAACAAAAGACTTGCAAAGAACGAGTGTCTATGCTCAAGCCTTTGTTGTGAAGAAACTTGTTAATTACTGGCTTTTTTTATAATGCGATCTGACGCGTAAACACCGTGTTTAAATCAATTTTTATTTTAATATATTATTATATAAATTTCCTAATGACTTGCGTGTCAAGTCTCTCTAGAAGATTAGGCCTCAGTTTCCACAATTTTTTAAAATTCTCTATTTTTACCCGACGGTGAACTGCACGTGTAATTTATATACAATTCCACGAGTTAATTACATCGGTCACTAAAATTTTGACTAATTAACTTAATGATCATTGAAGTTATTGTTTTACGTTAATGTTCACTAAAATTTTATAAATTAATACAATAATAATCACTTGGTTAAAAATAATGTTATCCAACTCCAGCAGTGTCGGAGTATTAATTTAGGTGGCATTATATGATATGTTCAATTAGAGGTGAAAGTCATTCAATTAAACTTGTCTCTAATGTCATTAGTGTTTCTATCGAAATTAGCCATGTTAATGAATCGAACAGAAAATCAAAGTTCAGGCTCTACTCGAGTAAGATAGGTTCGAGCTTTTTTGGACTCGAGACGAGCCGAGCAAAAGTTTGGACAAAAATTTTAGGCTTGACCTGAGCTTTTGGCTTGGGCCTTTACGAGCAGAGTTGGACCCGAGTCTAGCGCATGCAGATAAATTATTTTATTTTTTTTGAACTTTTTTTTCTAAAACTTTGGTCGGTTGAGCCACACGGGCCGGCCTGGGCTTGAGCCTAAAAAGGCCTTTTATAGCCTAAAAACATATTTGTCAAATCCGCCAGTATTGATGTCACCTATCCAAGGACGGCCAAT